GCGGGGTATATAAGTGCTTCTCTCCCTCGTTCCTCAGAAACAGACTTTCATTCTCCTCCAAGCTCACAAAACTGAATAAGGTAAGAGATCTATCATCTGTCTGTATCTATCTATCTGTCTATCTATCTATCTATCTATCTATCTATCTATCTATCTATCTATCTATCTATCTATCTATCTATCTATCTATCTATCTATCTATCTATCTATCTATCTATCTATCTATCTATCTATCTATCTATCTATCTATTATTTTGGTGAAGTTTATACATTATGTCTACAGATTAATGTTAAAGTGCTTTACAGTGTAACTTTAGAGTTCTGTTTATTTCACACAATGTTAGCTATAAAAAAATGATTTATTTACTTTGCATTAATTGTTTTTCCTTTACATTAAGTTAACACTGAGTTATGCTTACAAGGGGTTTGCAAAACTATAATAATAATAGCTATTGCAATGTGTTTTTTACATGCAAATACACTTATTATTTTATTATTGCTGAATCAACTGTACGTGAAAAGTAGTTTGTGTTTAAGAAAACAAAATCAGAAATGTAAAAGAACATAAATGCAGATAAAACAGGTGATGTATTAGTAAAAAAAATGAATAATAATTTAACCTTTTAACTTTCAGTCAAATCATCCTCTGATTCACTCCTTTATGCAAAATTAGATTTTTGATTTTAAAGAAAAAACATTGCATGGTAAACACCTGGTTAATCTTTCTGTCAAAGTAAAGTATATTAAAAATTAAACAAATGATCATAAAACATTAACTACTCAGAGTTTGTCTTGTTTCTATTCTAAATATCTAAAAGTTCTTAAATCAGTCAGCATTTTCTAGACAAGCAAAACATATTGGGCTGTTTTCAGAAATAATGAGTCAAAATGAAGAGAGTTTTGCCTTAAAACATGCAGAATAATCTGACAATGGAGAAAGTAAAATAATCCTATTTTAAAGATAATTTCACTATGTTTTGCTGGTCTAGAAAATGATATTTGAACTAGAAACCAAAGCAAGAAAAACTCAGCAAGAAAGGCATTTCGAAGCTAAAACACTGAATATCAACATTAATGCAACATCTGATAATGAAGTGTAATAAAGAGCTGAGGTCTTACTGCCGTGTGTTGCTTCTGCGCAGGATGAACAGCGGGGTGTGTGTGTGTGTGATCCTGGCCGCGCTCTCAGTCTCAGTGTCGTGTGCGTCTCGGCCGGTCTCAGATGAGCGCTCTCTCTCCGCGCGCCGGCTCGCCCGCTCCGCCAGCCTCACTCTCCAGCAGCCGCTGCCACCAGCGGGCGACATCCAGCCCGACACCCGCGCCAACCTCAGCCAGCTGCTGGCCAAACTCATCTCCAGTAAAAAAGGTGAGAGTCTGCGGAGACCTGAGGAGGAGAGCAGAGAGATAATTCAGCACACAAAGACATGTGCACATACACATATACACACACACCTATACACATGCATGTGCAAACACACACACACACACACACACACACACACACACACACACACACACACACATACATGAGTATATCCCTTTAACTGCCTGCTCTACCAAATGCATGACCATATTTATAATGTTTTAATAAGAGTTTACACACAGCATTGTTGGCTTACAAAAAACATCATCCAAACATTTTCCTGTTGCACTACAACACATGTTAAATGAGGATCTGAAATGATTTATGGCATACTTTCAAAAAATCAAGATGATTTAGTGTTCAAAAATGTTTTATTTTGATTTTTTTTTTATAAATTGCTCTTACACCTTATATTTTCAGAGTTTAGTATATGTATTACTTGCGGTACTTTTACCATAAACCGACATGTCTACCACTTGGTAGAGGCTGATATTTAAGAAATTATAGGATGTGTTGAAAACAAAATGCATTGAGTGTGTTCACTAGCGACATTAGGAGTTAAGAAATCCCATCCAAACATTTCTTTCTTGGTGGGGCAGTTACAGGGATATCCACACACACACACACACACACACACACACATATATGCATACACACATGCGCACATACACTCACACCGTGCTGGTGGTAAATGAACTCACCCCCTAATGGACATTTTTATCCATTTCTCAGTGACTATAATCAATGTATTTTGATGTATTTAAACAGAACAATTTTATTAATTCTTTCATATTCATTAAAATAAGAGTTTGATTAGGCAAAATGTCTATTTTTTTAAGCATTTCTCTGATTTGTATTTAACAGATATTATTATATGTGTCGTGTGTGGTGTCGTTTGGTCTGTGATCTTCAGTTGTTTGTTTGATTAGTTGATCAGTTTTGTCTTCGGTACTGTCTAATCTAATGCATCTGCACACATATATTACAGTAAAGCATCGTGGAGAGAAGATTACTGTAAAAGAGAGATCTGAGAGAGGTCAGCTCATTTACAATCAGCGCTAGACACACACACACATGAGTATCAGTGAAAAACAAACTCATCCTGAGATGAAAATGCAAAACAAAAACAAACAAAAAAAAACAAAAAATAAAAAGAGATGGAAATTAATTTGCTCCTGCTCTCCCTCTCTATATTTCTCCTTTTTCACTCAGTGGATATTATGGGTCAAAGACTAAAGGTTCACAGAGACTAAATAATAACAGAAATGCTGATTTTAAAATGTTTATCTGCTTTAGAAATCCTCCTATTCAATGACATTATTAATGAGCAAACACATTTTAATAATTTCCATTGTTTATTTTCCTCATGGTGTCCAGAAGACAGACACTACAATGAAGTTAATCATAAAGATAGCTTTTATATCTGAAATCTTTATACCTTTCCATTTTATTTACACTTTTCCACACCAGACTAAATCATTTCTCCTCAAGAAGTTCATTATTTCACATTTAATATGATCACTTAATCTTTCATATATTTTAATGAGTAAAACTCAGAATAAGTATGTTTATTTTATATATATATATATTTAATTTCACTTATTTAATTATTTTCCTTAGGCTTAGTCTCTTATTTATCAGGGGTTTTCACAGCGAAATGAACCACCATAATTCCAGCTTATGTTTTACACAGCGGATGCCCTTCCAGCTGCAACTCAGTGCTGGGGAACACCCATAACCACTCATTTACACACACATACACTACGGCTAGTGTAGTTGATCAGTTCCCCTATAGCGCATGTGTTTGGACTGTGGGGGAAACCGGAGCACCCGGAGGAAACCCACGCCAACACGGGGAGAACATGCAAACTCCACACAGAAACACCAACTGACCCAGCCGAGACTCAAACCAGAGACCTTCTTGCTCTGAGGCTAATGTGCTAAGCCCTGAGCCACCATGCTGCCCATATTAATTAATATGTATAACTTTCTTTATTGCACCATATAATTTGACACAATCTCCACTGCACAATATGCTTTTCTTATTCAGAGTTTGTCAAGCAAAATAATCAGCCAATGAGGTTAAAATAATCCCGTTTCTGCTTTAAAATACATGACTTCTCTTCCCCCAATGTCAGATTATTCTGCTTGTTTTAATGAAACCCTCATTATTTCTGAAAACAGCACTATATGTTTTACAGTCCAGAAACCGCTTCTAGATTTAAGGATTTGTAGATATTTAGACCGCAAACTAGACTAAATCTCTAAATAGGAGCAGCAGTGTTTGCGGTGCTTCTTCATGTTCCACACACAAATGCAGATTTAGGGCAGAACAACAACAGGAAGGCAGAACACAGCGAAAATCATTACATGAAATGACAGGTTAGTGTGTAATGAGTGTGTGTGCTCAGTCACGCACAGTACAGTAGCTCCAGGTGAGCGTTACCAACACAAACACACACTTCAGCCGGTGTGTGTTTACGCCGCAGGTGAACATCGGGCGGATATCTGGAGTCAGGTGTGCTCCATTACATTGCATAAGCACTCAATAGGGCGTCTTCAAAGCCTGTTTAACCATTATGGGCTAATCGCAGGAACAGGGACGAGCAGAGGAATGTGTGTGTGTGTGTGTGTGTGTGTGTGTGTGTGTGTGTGTGTGTACGTGTGTGTTTGTGTACAAGTAAAAGAGAGTTTTTTCTGTTGACCACTAATGAAGATATATTGAAGAATATTGGATGAGATGGGCACAGGAGACAGCACACTATGGGAGTCAATGTTAGCAGTTTCCAACATTCTTCAAAATATCTTCTCTTGTGTTCAACAGAAGAATAAAAGCAAGTGGAGACAGTAAATGAGCGAATTTAAAAATAATCGTGTGAACTGTCCCTTTAAGTCGTGTGTGTGTGTGTGTTTACTCTGTATTCCTTAAATTGTGGGGACCGAATGTCCCTACAAGTATAGCAACTATATGTGCATGCATGTTTTAACTTGTATATTTGAGTACATGTGCGTTTTAGTTAAGTTTGTGTGTGTGTGTGTGTGTGTGTGTGTGTGTGTGTGTGTGTGTGTGTGTGTGTGTGTGTGAGAGAGAAAGTGTGTGTGTTTGTCAGATGACAACAATAGCATTAATGTGTTTTGAGAACTAATTGATGCCATTAACCAGAGTCCAATTTCTCAGTGAGATTTTAATCTGCTGAGTGGGAGTGTGTGTGTGTGTGTGTGTGTGTGTGTGTGTGTGTGTTTCACACGTCAGCATGTCACAGCAGGTCTACAGCCTTCAAAGAAACCATAGTATGTATGTAGTGTGTGTTAAACGTCTCCCATCTGCTGCACACAGAATCACACCCTGCACAACAGATTGAGTGACACTGAACATGCTGTATGGAGCCGACACACATACACACACACAGACAGACAGACAGACAGACAGACAGACAGACACACACACTCTTCAATGTGCTTCTGCAATCATCATTAAGCAGCACTTCAGTCCAGCGCAGGTCAAGAGGATCCGAGTCTTTAACAGACCAACACGAGCTTCAGATGAGAGTATCAGAGCTATTCTACACTCAGTTAGTGTCGTCTGCTGCGTGCTCAGATTACTTATATTGAAACACAGCTGTTTTGGGGGTCAATTTAACTGTTTTATCTATGATCCACTTCAATTTGGAAAACTACACTGCAAAGAGTGCTTATCTTAAGAGTTTTGCCTCATTTATAGTCCAGTTTAGGCATGCGCTGGTATTAGACTGTGACCATGATAGCCTTGCATGAAGATATCAAGGTTTCACAGTATTGTGATTACCCAGTAAAATTTATTCTTTTTAAATAGCCGAGTAAAAAAACTAGAGCTTTTTCCCCTTTGAACACAATATCCTTAATTTTGAGAAACATTTATAATATTTTGGGACAGTCAACATGTCAAATAAGTTATTGCCTTCTGCTCTCTTGATTAGTTTTAAAACACTGATTTCTTTACCATTTAAAATGGCACCTTCGGATATTTTCTGCTCGAGATGCTGTTGTCCTAAAAAAAATGTGAATAAAAAAATCGTACACATACCTTAGCAAAGGTGTAGCAGAATTTTGTTGTGGTTTTAAAACCTTAACTTTCCAAAACGCGGTACTGTATACCTTGAAAACCGTTATCATCCTAGGCGTCCAAATATCTGAAAATTCTGAAATCAAGAATCAAAATCTGCTGCATTTTTTAGCACAAGTCAAAATAATGTTTTATTCAGGAATAATGAGACAAAATGAAGAGAGTTTTTAATTTAAACAAGCTCAAAAATCTGCCACTGGGATAGTGGAATAATCAGAATTATCATAATCATAACATCATAATAATTATTTTATGCTTCTCCCATTGGCAGATTAATTGACTTGTTAAAATGAAACTCTCTGCATTTTGCCTTATTATTCCTGAAAACAAGAGTATATATTGCACTTGTGCTGAAAATGCTTCTTGATTTGACAATTTGAAGAGATTTAGACTAGAAACAGCACAGAAACTGTAACTGCATTCTCACTCATTCAGTCAGTCATTCATTCAATTTTTTTTTTCAGCTTAGTCCCTTTATTAATCTGGGGTCGCCACGGTGGAATGAACCGCCAACTTATCCAGCATATGTTTTATGCAGTGGAAGACCCTCTAGCTGCAACCAATCACTGGGAAACACCCATACACTTCCATTCACATTCATACATTACAGACAATTTAGACTACCCAGTTCCCCTATAGCGCATGTGTTTGGACTGTGGGGGAAACCGGAGCACCCGGAGGAAACCCACGCCAACACGGGGAGAACATGCAAACTCCACACAGAAACACCAACTGACCCAGCCCAGACTCAAACCAGTGACTTTCTTGCTGTGAGGCGACAGCACTACCCAGTGTGCATTGCAGAATCCACTAATGAGATGTGATGAAGCAGCATCTATATTATATAACCGTTATATCTGAGATTGAATGTTAATCGATCGCCTGTTTCTCCGTCTCGTAGGCTCCGTTCGCCGGAACTCCTCGATGAACAGCCGAGCGAACAGCGTCAACCACCGGATAAAAGACCGGGATTATGTGGGCTGGATGGACTTCGGCCGCCGGAGCGCTGAGGAATATGAATACTCATCATAAACCATATAAATACAGAAATGCGGCTCCTCGTCTACAAATAATAAAGAGTATATTTATTTCTACTATTGTTATTGTTATTATTATGATGTACATTTGTTAAGACTCCAGTATAATGCAATATACGTACACATATGCCTAACTTTGCAACAAAAAAAGAAAAAAAAGGTGTGAGAGTATCGCTGTCGTGTTTCCGTCTGTCCTCTCATGCAGAGTCACTGAGCTCATGTGTTTGTCACGGTTTTCAATAAATCAGGTCAGCATTCAACTTTGGCCTTAAACCCTACAGACTCCGACTGCAGTTTGTCCATCTACAGCAAACCGGCAGTGCTTTACTGCACGCTTCATCACCAAACAAGAGTTCTGAAGCTCAAACTGCTGGAGCCGAACCACAGGAATCAATAACTGAGTGAACGAGTGACTGGAGGAAGGAGAGGGAGAAGCTCTGCTCAGAGGACAGCTCAATGATTCAGACGCAGAGAGAGAGAGCTGAAAGACCCTCACACACTTCAAACAGCAGACCACAGGGACTTATTGAGCCCCGTCCACTGAGAGCAGATCTCCATTACAGAGAGAGAGAGAGAGAGAGAGAGAGAGAGAGAGAGAG